ATCACCGGAGACTGCAGCAATTAACAGGGCACTAGCACCAGCCATCCTCAGTCGCGCGGATCGCGGTGAGAGGCAGCCCAGTCGGTTTAGCCGGTCGCTTCGATCAGCTGCATGTTTTTACACACATCGAGCAGCAAACAGTTGCCGGCCGACCCACATCGGCCCCGAGGCAGGGTCGGACGGCACGCTACCGACGTAATCGGGCCGACACGCCGCGTGGCCTATTCGCAAAGCCCCGAGAGTCTGTCCGGTGAAATACAAGTGCACTGTGCTGCGGATCAGGCACTGTCCGTCGTTTGACAGTGCGAAATCGTCTGTCCGGCTTACCATGGACCATGGATTGCCCTATATGCTTCAGAGTTTCCATGGTCCGGCGGTCCAGACAGGGAGCTGTTCGGCTGCGAACTGTCGACTGTCCGACAGACACGAGTGCGGGTTGTCCGCCGGAGGACCCGACTGCGAGCTGTCCGACTCTCCGGAGCGGCGCAGCTCGCCGTCCACGCTATCGTTGCGCCATCGCCGGCGCGGCGCCGCCCGCTCGTCGGCCACTGTCATTAGAGCGCCGCCGCGCGGCCGGCCGCCGAGCGTTTGTTCTCGGCCGCCGCCGCCGGCCCCGCCGCGCCGTCCGACGGTGAAAAATTGAACGACAAAGCCGCCCATGCGCCGCGTGCGACTGGAGACAGCGAGAGTGAGTGGGAGAGTGAGTGAGAAAGGGAGAGAGGAGAGGAACAGGACAGGGAGAGAGGGGGTGGAGAGACGGCCGGAGAGCGGGCAGAGTGCCGGAGCGGCGGAGTGACCGCGCCGGCGGCTGCAACTGCCGCCGGGCGACAGGTTCCATTTCGCTGTTTGCTTTATCGCTGGAAGCAGTGCTATTGCAGAGGTCGTCCAGATGGACGGCGATAGGGCGATTTATTCTCGCCGCCGCCGCGCCGGCTGCGAAATGAGGCAGCCCAGTCGGCTGCTGCTCGGCTGCTGCTCGACTGCTGCTGAGAGCGAGTCTTTGCTGCTGCGTGGCTCTCAGATGCTTTCAGCCAGCGTGCAGCCTCTACTAGCAGCGAGAAGCGGAATGTGAACAGCAGCAGCGAGCAGCGAACAGTGGGCAGCGGCAGTAGGCAGTGGCTCCGGCCAGCTGATAAATTCCAGGACCGCTCACGCCCCGTGAACGATTGCCTTCTGTTCCAAACTCGGACCGAACAAACACCGTGAAATCGAGCCGCATGTCCCCCACGTGGCTGGTGACTCGACATGGTGCGCCAGCGGGGACGGGTTCTTACGGGCCGACCGAGCCCATCCCGCACTGTCCGGCTCAGTCCATTGTGCCGCTCAATTGTCTGCTTGTCGTGACTGCAGGCAGGGATGCAGCGGCCGCAGCGAGCCTGTCCAGCGGCAGCAGCACGTGCGTGACTGGCGCCGGACAGCAAGCGGCCAGCGGCGGTCCCGGACCGGAGTCTGTCCCAGAACCGCGCGGTCCGGCCGGCCGGCGAGCGCGGGCCGCGGGGCCGCCGGGGCCGCCGGGCCGCCATCAGATGAGAAGGGCTCTGCTGACGTGTCTCCTCCCACCCCATTGTGGCGGAGAATGAACAGAAAAATAACACAAAATACGCCGGTCATAATGAAAAATAGGAGGCGAGACTGTTATGTATTCACGCGCCCGGTATGGGTACTGTTCGGGCTGGGATGGCTGGAGAGAGAGATAGAGATGGAGAGAGAGAGGAGGGACGGAATGGAGGAAAGGACGGGCGGGTATGGAGGGAGGGCAGACGGAAAGGAGCGGGTGAAGCCATGAAAGGCGCCGGTCGTGTGGGGGCGGTCGGTTGCAGCTGCACGCGCGAGCCGCCGCGTCAGTGAGCGCTCATGAAAGCCAGGGATGTGAACAGAGCAGCTGGTCGCGGCTGGCCCCCATGCTGTACGGAGACACGGGACTGCTGTACGGGGACGGAACGAGTTCCTCCCAGGGACGGCCGTTTCACATCCCAACGGTTTATAACACATCAGCAGACGGACAGGAGAGAGAAAGAAGAGAGGGGAGAGAGAGAGAGAGAGAGAGAGAGAGAGAGAGGGAGAGAGAGAGAGAGAGAGAGAGAGAGAGAGAGAGAGAGAGAGAGAGAGAGAGAGAGAGAGAGAGAGAGAGAGAGAGAGAGAGAGAGAGAGAGAGAGAGAGAGAGAGAGAGAGAGAGAGCAGCGGCGTAACACCTGGAGCCCGCGCCGCGCTATTGCGTCATCTTCAGAGTCCGGCCGCCGTCGCTGGCGATGACATGCCCGTAAATGATGGTACCTGGTGTCCCGGACCACGGCTCTTTGGCCACCGAACACCGTCCACTGGCCTCCTGGAACAGGCGCGGGAGGAGCGGCCGGGCCAGAGGAGCAGTCCCAGCAGAGGAGCGGCCGGGCCAGAGGAGCAGCCCGAGCAGAGGAGCGGCCGGGCCAGAGGAGCGGCCCCGGCAGAGGAGCCGGCGCCGCCGGCCGGGGGCGGCCCCGTTGCACGGTGGCGGCGGCAGCGGACGATAAACTGGCCGCCGCCGTCCAGAGGGCCCTCCTCCCAATCACACTGAGCAGTGTTTACAGTGGCCGCGCCGCCGCTTCCTGGCCGGCCTAAATCAGACGCCGCATTAGCAGCCCTCCCACCGGCGGCGTTCACACGTTTTTTCCCGGTGACTGCCGAGCCTGCTCGGCTGCCGGACGTTTATCTGCTGGCCTCATCTCGCCTGCTGCCTGCCGCCGCTGCAACCAACTCAAATACGGCCTCAGCCGCCGCCGCCGCCACCGCGCCTCCGACTCCAATAAAACCATTATGTGGGAGCCATTAAAGAAGCGAATAAAACTATACAGTCATGATGAGGAGCGGGGCCGGTAAAAAGTATTGGACGAGAAGCGGCGCTGGCGGCGGCCGGTGCCGGCGGCGGTGGCGCCGTTTTACAGGATCCCACGGAAACTGTCCGGCAGGCCGCCGCCGGCTCCGGACAAGGCCGACCGCGCGGCGGCAATAACAATAAACCGGCACCAAGAGCAGCTGTAAATGGACACGGCGCCGCGCGGCGGCTCCGGCGGCTCCGGCGGCTCCGGCGGCTGCTGACGGCGCGTTTATGACGCGGCGTACCTCCGGCGGCGGCGGCGGCGGCGACAGCGCCGCGACGCCGGCCCACTGCCGCCGGCAGCGCCGGCCAACAATGAATATTTAGGAAGAACAAAGGGGCCGCCTGTTGATAGATGGGCGGCAGCGGCGCTCGGCGGCCGGCCGCCGGTGGGCGGGGGCGGGGGCGGGGGCGGCCGACCTGTGATCACCGCCGCCCCCCGCCGTCCGCCGCCGCTCGCGCCGCACAACACCGCCGGCGCCGACGACTCGCTCATGGTAATCAGGTCGCGGAGCCACCGGCGACCGTCTTACTGACGCCACCAGTCCGAGCGGCCGGTGGACAGTGTCCGGGAGCCGCGCACAGTCACCCGCCCGCCTCCGGCTCAGCCGCACGCAGCCGCCGTCTCCAGATCGCTGGGACCACCTGGCGCGGCCTCAGCTCCCGCTCGTGGCCGCTTACTCTATTGGAACGCGCCGATCGGCGGCGGCGGCGCGGCGGTGCACGTGACTCTGTCCCGGCGGCTCGTGACGGCGGCGCGGATGTCAGGGCCGGGACGTGAGGCCGCCACCGCCGCCGCCGGCGGCGGCCCGTCGTACCAGCCGCCACTCTGAGACGCCGGCACCTGGCCCAAGTTGGCAAATCCGAGCCGGCCCACTCGCTCCAGTTTCCGAAAAGTTTCAGCTCATTAAATAGAGTTGGTAGAGCTGGAGTTGACAGCGGCCGGTGGTTAATCAGCATTCATGGATTTTCGCGGATCGGTTATGGATCGGAGGGGGCCGCGAGTTGGAGGCGGACGGTTTTACGGCGTCGTAAACACGGTCGGCGCCGGTCGGAGAGTGGACACCGTGTCGCCGTGTCCGCGGGCCGCGGGAGGACGGCGCAGCGGCCCCGAGCTCCTCCCGGGCCCGGCCGGGTCACGGCGGGTCAGGGGCTGCTCCCGGATCCCGCCGGCGCCGGTTCCCACCACCACCCCGAGTTGCTGCGCGCGACGACACCGCAGCGGGCGGCCAGCGCGCCGGGCCGGCCGCTGCCGCCAATGGCCGACAGACACGAAACGGCGGCCCGGCGGCGGCAGCCCGCGCCGCCAACGGCCGGTGACGCGGCATATTCGCCGCACATGCAGCTATGCGCCGAGCTCGGAGTGAGCCGGCGCGGCGCGGCGCCGAGCTCGGGCGGGGGCGGGGGCGGCGGCGGGGGCGGCGGCGCCGCTGAAAGCCGCTTTGTGCCGGGCATGTCGGCGGGCCGTTTCGCTTTGACTGTCGTCTTTTGAGCGGCGCTGCCGACAATGCCGCGCCAGGAGTGGGCCGGCAGGAACAATACACGCGCCGGCCGGCGATCGGGCCGGATCAGGGCACCTTTTTGCCGCGCCTCGGTAGTGCGCCAGCCACCAGCCCCGGCCGGCCCGTCTCGTCTCATCCCTCTGTGGCTCATCTCATCCTCAAACGACAACGGGTGTTCATTGCCGGGAAAATGCTGATCGCTTATCGACCTGTCATCTTACTCGCAGGTACCGAATACGGACCACTAATCAGCGCAAGCAGCTTTAAATATCTCTACAGCCACCATCATCGCGTAATGGATTTAACTACCCAACAGTGCACTGTTGGGCACAGTTGGGCGTATGCCATGGCATACGCATGTATGGAATAATGTTTCGCTTAGCCGCTCGCTTGGCAGTCCCAGCAGCCTACAACAAGACCAGGAAGGTCCAGTAGGCGCATTTGCTTTGACAAGATATCCGTGCGAGTTGATGACTCCATTCAGCTCCACTCATTGGCTGAGAGAGGGCAGTTCGGCCACTGGGTGGTGCAGTGGGGGCCATGGCCCCCACTACACCTCACTGCAGTGAGGTGTAAGGTAGGTACTGACCTGTGTCTGGGTGAAGCCCAGGCTGGCGGTCAGTGAGGTGTAAGTATAGGTACTGACCTGTGTCTGGGTGAGGCCCAGGCTGGCGGCCAGCTCGGCCCGCTCGGGTAGCGCCAGGTACTGCGTCCGCTGGAACCGCCGGTTGAGCTGCTGCAGCTGCAGGGAGGAGTAGATGGTGCGCGGCTTCCGCATCTTCTTGCCCTTGCCGTTCACCCTGACACCGCCCTCGGTCAGCTTGTCGTCTGAGAACGGAAAGGTGAACTGGTGAGTGGGTGAGCGGCAGTTGGTGATCTAGTGAAATGGTTAACTGGTGAGCTGGTGAGGTGGTGAGCTGAGGCAGCCCGGCGGTCGTGGGGGGGGGGGGATAGGGCAGACTGGGCCTCATTACGAGAAACTGTGCAAAACAGTGAAACTGAAGAAAAAGCACAACATAAGAACGTCGATGGGTTGGCTGGAAACGGCAGGCAACGATAAATATCAAAATATTTTGAGATAAATATTTGAATGGCATGCTCAGTGCTTTTAAGGTACGTATGTACATATTTTGTCACACAAGTCAATGACTAGCCCTAAGGAACTGGCTGTTGAGACAAAAGATGGTTTCACGGTAAGCACGGTCAGTGAAAATATATTTTGTGATGCGAAGGCTGTCACGAAGGTTTGGTGAAGTTGCACGATCACATAGTTAAGTTTGGATGGTAGGTAATCTAATTTAAACGTGGCTCCCACACCCGGGTATTATTGTTGATTGCTGACCAAAACAAGCATTGAAGTACGTTAACTGGCACTTGCGGTTAGGAACAATCAGAATATTGCTTTAATGACACCGTTGTGGCGATGGTGTCTGTGCTTTCATGAGAATGTCAGATTTTAATAGGAAGACACCCACAGTGCATACCACTGAAGAAGTCGAACGAAGTATCATCACAATGACACTGCATGAAGTAGTTAAATGAGACTGACTGAGCTAGTAATTTATAGCCGCGGTTATGAAGCTGATGAAAAAAAAATGATCGAAAGAATTGTTGTTTCTGGCCCAGTGGTGAACGTGATGTATTCACATTTCACATGATCGACAGTATAATTTCATGATGCACAGTTCATACAATAGGCATTCACACAAATAGATGTTGAGTTTGGTCATACACCACCTACGTCCAAGCATGCCTAATTTTTCTTCACTAAAACAAATATAAAATGGTTCATAATACTTGGGTTAATACATTTTACACTGGTAAAAACGAAGAGACACAAGTAGGATCTTTTCCTCAATTGTGATAACTTGTGCATATGTCATTCAGGCAAATACTATAAGGATATCATAACTTACATCTATGGTGCCATTGAATTTGAACGGAAAAAGTTACATCCATCTTTTAATTGAAACTAATTAAATTAGGGTATTTTGTCTGCTTCTGATCGCTGTCGTTATCAAAGGCCAACCAACATTTCGTCAACATTATTTTACCTGAGCTGTATGGTGCTTTTTGATATTATTATTGACAGATCGACCTGTTGTGCCCGATGAATAGTTCACGTTAGTGGCAGTGGGTAGTTCTCCCAGCGACCACGCACGACATAGGGGAAGGTGGGGTAAGACGGCCCAGCGGGGCAAGACGGACCACCAGCCCTCCCGGCTGAACCGCTGCTGGTATCTACTGCTTTATGCACCCACTATGTTTGTTTTCCTTCGTAACAATGGCCACCTTGAGCTCATGCTGCTAGGATGCATAGCTTTTGAGTTATTGAGAAAAATGTTGTTTTTCGTCAAACCGATCTAATATAAGAGGTCTACGGGTGATTCAATTACGGCGCCTTTCTTACATGATTAGTTTCTATTTTGCACTTAACTGTGAAGAACAAAGTTATAAACTTAGTTATAGTCACACTTTAGGAAAGGCAAGGCTTTGCAATGTTGGGCTATTTGACATATACGTCATGATAATGACAGAATTTAGATTTGGGGCAAGACGGACCACTGTGGTCCACCTTACCCTGTGGTGGTCCATTGTACCCTGCATATGGAAAGTTCTTTTCCAAAACATTGACACAAGTTTAAGTAAGCTAATTTTTCAGGAAGGAGCCTTTGTTGCATGTGAGCCATGCATGCAAGTGCTCAGTTAGCATGCATTCATGCCAAACGACAATCAACACACATATTCCTAGCTTTTAGCTGCACTTCCATCACATATGAGTAAAGAATAAAGGCTCATTTCGTTATTTTACCATTCTGGTTACTTTTTCTTACAAGAGTACAGAGCAGAAGTGTAACACACATGAACGGATAGCAGGCACTGCTGGGTGGTCCGTCTTACCCCATGTTTTTTCTTGTCTGAGTTTTTGACATGTCCCTCTTTAACAGCATCCACCACCTAGATGTCTTTAATTTGAAATTTAGTCATTACACATATCAACAGAGGAAGGATTGAGCATTCCGAAGACTATAAATAATATGAATTACGAGAGCAGTGTAGCAAGATATGCGGCCTCAAACCTTAGCTGGTCCGTCTTACCCCACCTTCCCCTACCATTGCAGCTACAGATGCAATGGGGTAGTACAGCAAGTGTCGTGGTCGGTAAATCTTACATATGAATGGGGATTTGGACGGTGCAAATAATGCACAATTATCTTATGTTTAACCACAAAATTTTTAACGGCACAGCGAGAGATAATCTGGACATCTGTACCTAGATTGACAGCATTGGTAACAATCAGTCCCATAGGTCTCAAGGCACATGCACATTGCACTATTGGTCACTAGTAATTGGCGATTATGCACTAAATTACCATGGCTGTCAGCTATTGAGCTATGTATAGTTGGAGTCAATGGCTTAGCCCGCTGCTATTGATAGCCAGTGGTGGATCGAACTATGATTCGGTTATTTCGGGTGTCGGTGCCGGCTGAGGGCACCGGTCGTCGGGAGCGGCGCGTGGGTCCTGACGGGCCGGAATGGGTACCGACTATCGATGCCCAGGCCGGGTATGTAGAACAACATCGAGGCCGATCACCCGTGACCATATTCACTCTCACAATCATGGCGCAAAGGAAGTGAGTAGTGACGCATCGAAAGTGAAACAATGACAAAACAAAACTAACTAATCCGTTCGTAAAGTGCAATATTCATATTGCATTGGACAAAGCCATTTTATCGTGTACATATTCTTTTCCTAGATACAATAAGAACATGTCGCCTTTGGGTCATTGGGGCAACAGATCATTCGGGCTACAGGAAGAGGAAAGGTATGGTTGGTAACACTTTCAAATGCATCTTTCCAGACGATGCATTTCATTGAATATGTGGAAACTATTTGCATTTTGACAGAACGATAAGCGCAACATTCGGCTCACAACTCTCCGTTGCTCTAATGTTGACTCTTGGCGATTGATAATTTACGCTATTCGCTAGCTCTCGTGGTGACGATCCCCGTACCATCAAACACTCTTATTTGCACACTAAACACTCGTCTGGGCACTCAAAGGCGGCGTTGTTCATGCCATCCTGTTGTTCTATTGGCGCCTCTGGACTTATTTATGTCCTCATGACATTGGTCAGTCCCGCCGTCATGTTGGTTGGGTCACTGAAGACGACTGTGAGACGCTTCCCTTGACTCTAGCCCAGTTTCCTTTTCAATGCCGACAGCACGGTGCCTTTATACCTATCCTTTCATTGCCTCCTTACCGGGCTCCTTCGTTGACGATTGACATATCATTGGCATGTCAGGCTGGGTTCATTGGATGTTTTGTTGATTAGTAGGTACTGACGTAAAATACATGATGAACAATAATAACATATTTCAAATATGTCCTATTCAGGCCGTAGCTTTGTGAATACGCATGCCTAGTGTATGCAAGACAACTGTAAACTTTGGTATTCGCTCCTACATAAAAACATTGAGAATACTTTTTTTGGCAGTATGCAGAATGGTTGTATGAAGAGCATACCTACAATGTGAAATGTCCCAGCCGCGATTTTCACGGACCCACCATGCCACCCACACTGGCTCATTTACAGCCAGCTAGTTAATACACATTCCCAAATAAAGTCTGGCCATAAGCCATGTGCACAGATTTGGAAACCCAGGAACAGTCGGCTAAAAATAACCGTCTGCTGAATAATGATGGGATTTAACGACACCACATTACGACAATTATATTTTTATGACTCGTTATCGTGTTATCGCTATAACTGGCTAATCTTTCTGAAGCCTACATAATGTGCGGAAAACATGCGCATTATTCAATTAATCAGCAAATCAACATTCCGTCTGTCAGTCACAAGACGCATTCAGCATTTCCATTTCGTTTCACTCATTCAGGTGCTAATCTTATGATTGTGTTTAAATACGTTTATTTATACCTACTGATAGGTACAACATTTATAAACGGTATTTAAGACAATTTAAGCGCTGTCTAGCAAATAACAATGCATCTGCTCCTTCGCATTTGTTTTTATCCAATTTTGGCATTCCGAAGCCTTGTCAAGTGACTCAAAAAAGGAAAACGTCGCACTAGCGCAAATCACGTCTTCAAAACCATATCGCCAAGAAGATAGCACCAGCTGACAACCAGCCTCTCTCCCCCCTCTCTCTCTCTCTCTCTCTCTCTCTCTCTCTCTCTCTTTCCCATCCTAGATTTCTTGAGTAACGTTCTGGCAGGACTGATTATCCGTCCTCCGTCATAGCATATCTCTAGAGTTCACCATATCCGGGCACCACCGAGCGCAGCAGCGGCAACAACGGCAGTAACGGCAAGGCACGACAACAACGACAACAACACATGGCGACACAGCAACAGGACGTGGTGGCAAGAAAACACGGCAACAACACATGACAACACAACAACAGCAACAACAGATGACCGTACGGAAAGAGCGACAATACGGACATGTGAATACGGCAACACGGCTTGACGTCATGGAAACACAGCAAAATGGAACCACACCATGACAAATTCACAACAAACAGCACGGAGGAAGGCGCACCACGTCTCGGTATCACGGCGCTCAACCGTTCGTCATCACGGCCCTATGTTGCATTAGGCACAAGGACACTCCCCTGATATGGCGCGTCACCAGGGCACGGTAGCACTACCACACGACCCAGCAAAAGTCTTATCCCCACACCACAAAGCTTCATCCGTACATATGTGTAATACCTACTACAGACTCTGAGATTGATTCATGACCTGTATCGCTCCTACAAGGTATGACAGACGGACTGCGCGAGCCCTGGGCCCTATGAACCCGTACAGGTTTGACAGGCGAGACTGATCACTGTGCGTGTCTGCCCGTGTGACTGATACCGCTAGGGGCAGCAGACAGCGGCGGGGTGGCCGGGAGACACGGAGCCGACACACCTGACACATGTGGTTCACCTGATACGGCAGACAGCGCCGTGACGCCCGCGGAGGGGCGCCCCGGGCCCGCGCCCCGACTCGGCGGCGCCCACCACCACGCGGCCCGAGGGGCGCCGCGCCGCGCCGACCGGCCGGTCGCCCCATATCCAATCCGACACAACCCGTTCAGCTCATTAGACAATTACTTTCGGCAGTGCTCTGGCGTCAGAGTAATTTCGGGTGGGCGTGAAGGAGCGCACGGGGCCGGCGCGGCGTCCCTGCCCGGCTGACACGGCCCGTCCTGGCCCGGCGCCGGTACAGCCGCGGTGGGCGGGCACGGGAGGAGAGCTGGAGGACGGGAGGGGAGGGGAGCTGGGGTCCAGCAGGGGAGGAGAACTGGGGTCCAGCATGGGAGGAGAGCTCGTGGTCGGCAGCTCGGGACCCGCTCTGGGCCGCACGCTGGCCGACCCAACAGTTGCCACATAAAGTAGGAAGTCGGACTGCGCGGCTCTGAAACAGACGGCTCAGTTCGACAGTTGGTGTGCGCTCGTAAGGGCACCAAGTGCCTCGAGTGGCGCTCGCCTTCCGTCCGCCAGTTCTCGGCTGGTGCCGCATTCTCCGTGCCGCATTTTCCGTTCGGCGCGGGTCACGCTGAGCGTCTCTCCAGTCCAGTCCAGCGGAGCAGCTCGGGCGGGCACCCCGACTCGGGGTTCCCGGCCACGTCAGCGCTGATGGAAACATCCGCCATCGGCCGCCGCAGCAGCTGGCGCCGATGACGGCGGATGACGCGCTGAGTCAGTCCGCCATCCTCCCACGGCCCTGACTCAGGCGTGACTCAGACTCTGACTCTGACACAACGCGGAGGCTACGCTGTGCTACTGGCGCCCGACTGGTTGGGTGGACTACCATGTTCTAGCGATCCAACAATATCTCGAAGCAGGGGATGCACAGCACCGGTCTACATTGGCCAGATACACTGACACATCATAGTGAACGACACGAGCAAGCCAGCGTATGACAGGTGACAAACAGTTGTGTGGTCAAATGTCACCTTGTCGTAAGACACAACGTCTGAGACAGCATGGACTGGGTGTGCAGACCGTTCAGCCAATGCCAAAGGTATTTCGAATAGACTTTTTGTTGTTGCTGTCGGCCTCAGCATTGTGATAAATGGGACCACACAGATGGGCGAAGACGACGATATTGTGTTTTATCTCTCAAACCACTTTACGCCGGACGTAAGTTGCATCCAGGCCCACACACCACAAACATGCTGTACAGTCTGTATTTCAGACCTCTCCTTACAGTCCATGTCAGACCGCACAGTCTGCCGGACCACATGGTCCACGTACGGCCCGGCGCGGTCCTCGTTTGGTTCGGCGGCGTGTGTAGCCGGTCCGTACACGGCCGAGGAATGTGTCGGACCGCGCCGCGATCGGCCGATAACGGCGGCGGCGACAGGTGGGTGCCGCGGAACACGGCCGCCGTCCTCTCCTCCCCGTCCTCTGGTCCCGCCGTCCTCTCCTCCCGCCGTCCTCTCCTCCCGGTCCTCTGGTCCGGGCCGGGCGGTGGGAGCAGCGCGGACCACCATCAATTTGCGTCCGGGGTCAGTTGGCGATAAATCTGCGCCGACGCCGACAGACGCGGCCTCTCGTCCCGTGGGTACTCCAAGCACACGCGGCTTTACCGTCCCGCCGGACTCTGAGACAGTGTACGGCCACCACGTGACCAGCTTGGCTGAGTCAGGCACCCAGTCCTGAGCATGGACCCCGGATTATGACCCGATTACAGCAGATCAGTTCGGGTATCATGTCAGTGTCAGTACTGTGACACATTTGTGACAGGCCGTAATTGGCACCGATAGGCTGATCCGTACCATGTGCTGGTGTAAGTTCAATGATGCTATGACACTAAAATAAAAGTTAGGATGCGGTACTGCGTGCGGATAGAACCGGCCCGGTATCCACTACGTGCAGGGCGGCCACCGGACTGGGGTAAGTACAACACCTCTCACCGGCTTACGTCAATCACTGTCACCTCATCATTCTAAGTGTCCCCAATTTTCCACAGGGACGGCGGGGCACGCTGTGAGATTCCGAGGACCTGCGGGACCCAGCCGGGACCCACCTGGGACATCCAGCCTCCCGTGGGGCGGCGGCGGTCCGGGGTCGGAAAAGTCGGCCGTCCCCGGCCCGTCCGACCCGGTCCAGCGCCGGCCCCGTCCGCCGGCCCGCGGAGGCCGTTAGCCGGTACATTTGTTTTGTTCGCCCGGCCGCGGCCGCCGACCGATCCAAGGGGAAAACAAAGGCGGCGCCGCGCCCAGCCGAGAGAGAGCGGGAGGACATCAACAGCGGCGGGAGGGACGGGAGGGGCGGGAGGGCCGCCTCCCACCGTCCGCCGGACGCAGCAGCCCGGTCCCAGAGACCAGAGCCGATAATGGACCGACTGCAGCGGTCCCCACGGCGAGAGACCCCGATCAGCCCCCCCCCCACCGCCCCCCGGTGACACGGAGCACCCCCCGGTGGGCGGCCGGGGCGCGCGCTGTCACCGACACAAAGGCCCCTACTGATCACCCATCAGGCGGCAATTTTAGGAACGCGGGAAGGGTGGGACAGGTCATGACACCGTTAACCGATCCCCCGATAGGAGGATCACCTGGGTCAGCCCATCGGCCGGCGATCGGGGGCCGCGGGCCGCGCGCCCGGCGGCGGCGGCGGCGGCGGCGGCGGTGGGACTTACCGTCCTCCCGTATGGGCGGCGATGGGCACGGCGGCGTGTGGTACGGCCCCAGCGGCGCGTAGCCCGAGTAGCTGTTCTGTAGCGGCCCGTGCATGGACGGAAAGTGGTAGCTGAGCGTCCGGTTGGCGTGCGTCGGGTCGTACTGGGAGACGTGCTGCTGGCCCGGGTAGCCGAGCGGGCCGCGCCCGTAGGCCGGGTGCATGCCCGGGATGCCCTGTTGTGGCAGCTCCATGAACGAGGGCTGCTTGAGCTCCTCGTGTGCCTCCGGAGTGGCCGACATGCCCGGGTACGGGCTCCCGAGGTCACCGAAATTCAGCGTGGTTGCTGGCCGGGCGTCGGTCGGAGGATAACACCGCACACTCGCACGAAGCAAGGCCAATTCGCAACTGGTGGCCGGCCGGCTGCCGGGCCGCGCCGGCTGCCGGCCCGGCGCCAGACGCCGCCCTCCGCGCGGCAGGACGGCCGCTGATTGGCGCAGCGCGGCCGGCTGCTGTGATGGGAGCGGCGCCGGCGCGGAGCTCCGCCCCCCACCGTCGGCCCCGCCCCTCGCGCCAGCCGGGCGAGGTGGGCGGGCTCTGGCGCACAAAAACACTGGGACCATGCATCAGCGCATGATTGACAGTGGCCGGCCAAATAAAAATTATAACCGCCCATCCGCAGGTGCCCACCATGTAAATCATAGCGCCGCGCCCGGGTCCCGTCGGCGCTGGACAAATAATAATTTGGACGGTGGGCCGTCTCACATTGCAAACAGGGTATCCGGTGTGGTTTGGAGCGGCACCTCGCAGTACCGGGGAACCAGTACCGACACCTGGGCCTCGTTTCATAAAGCTCTGCCGTAACTTACACCTTTCCGTAATTCACACCCTTTCAAACTACGGAGCGCAAATGAAGCCGTTTCACAAAGCCACAACTGGAATTGTTTACACCTCCGTAACTAAGCACATTTGCGTAGTTACCGTAATTTATCAAGCGTCCTACAAATTACAATTTCATGTCAACACTGATTTTTTTACGAGAAATTATAAAACAATTATGTTGAATTTAAATCTTAAAAAATTATTTATGAAAAAACTAAATTGATATTGATGACCATTGACCATCCTTTATTAAATCAATATATTGAAAACCGCAGAAAGCCAGCCAAGCAGAAGTGCCTAACTACGTAAGTGGCGCGGCGCGGCGAATAAACAAAATTCCGATAGTGGCCACAAAAAGCGACTGGTACAGAAGATTTGCAGTTTCTTTGTCTCATTTTGGTTGTTCTTTCTTCCTCACCGGGCTCAACATTATAAAATACATCAAAAATTAGCTTCGAATCTTCACATTAATTCCAATTCACGCAACATTTTCGTGCGTAGTTCACACCACTGATATCAAGAACTTGATAAAATATTTGGCGTTAATTACGTCGTTTTATGAAACCCAAATGGCATCAATTGGTCCGGAATCGAGCATTTGCCGTAAATGAAGCTCCGTAATTTCGATGGCGTGAATTACTCCGGTCTCCGGCTTTATGAAACCGAATTGGCATCAAATACGCCAAATCTGGCATAATTGACGGAACGCCGTAAGTAATTCCTTTTATGAAACGAGGCCCTGGTCACTGCACACCAGTCAGTGCGTCACTGACATCAGTCACTGCACCACTGACCCCTGGTCACTGCACCATTAACATCAATCACTACATCACTGGCACCATTCACTGTACCACTAATACAACAGGCACTGCACCACTGACACCGGTCACTGCACCAATGACAGTCACGGAACCACCGGCACCGACATAAGTCACTATACCATTCACGTGAAGTCAGTGCGAAACTGTCGACGGCCAGATTTGGTTCCGGACTTTAACTTCGTTTTTAGATTTTTTGCTTCGGTCATTATGAATCGGAAAAAATAACTGCGCTTTGAAATAAACGAACTGTCACTGTCTATTTAACTGCTTGTATTTTAAAACTGCGAATCGTGGGTTAACTAGTAAAATCATGCAGGTATCGTAGCACTAGAAAACAGTTTACCTACAGTTTCGCAAGCTTTCTATCCCTAAATTTAGTGGGCATCGATAGAAGGTAGGAAGTTTGTAAAAATGACAAGTTATTAGTAGGTAGGCTTGCCTATTATTAAAAAAAAACAACTAAGCGACACACAAAATAGAAACAACTAAAATAAAGTACTGTATGTTGATTATTTCTCTTATTTGAAGTTTTAATTAGTTAAACATTTTTATATTATTTCCACACTTCTAGCTCGCAATCTTCAACCATTCTATTTGAGCACATAACATACCTACAATTTTACCACACTGTGTCCCTCTCTTCGTTTGCCGGCCGCTCGTATAGGGTCGGCTGGCCGTTGCTTGTGCGTTCTGTGGTTTTCTGGCCGTTGTGCGTTCGGTCTAGCCCGCCCAGGAAACCCTGCTGTTCCCAGGAAACCCTGCCGGCCTCACGCACCCCCTCTGCCCCCCCCCCCCCCCGTCACCTGACCGCAGTCGGCGGGCGGTCACTGCGCGCGCACACGCAACAGCCGCGCCACAAGTGCCGCTCGCAGAGCACGCCGCATCGATTGCCGGGAGAGCGGCGCGGTGAGGCTGGCGTGGCGCAGCGGCGACGTTCGCCCGGCGCGGACCGCCGACGGGCGCTGTATCCACGCAGGATTGCGTCCATTGTGCGGCACAGTCGGCAGCCGTAACAGGGAGCCGTGTTGCGGTCCTGTCATTTTGGACGCATGTAGAACACCGGCAATAAATTTTGTGTGATTTACGCACCCTACCGACTGCCTCGGTGGGCCGCCGCGTATGGACGGCCCTCGCACCCCGCCGCGCCGTCGTGTCATCTGTCATGTCACCTTTTTCTGACACACTGACCGCATCAGGTGGCGCGATTTACCGGAGACCGGCACCACACCGGGATAAGTGGTCAGTCGAGTTCGCACGCCGAAATTGGATGATTGGGGCGAGCGGGTGCGGGCGGCCCGTGTCGTGCTCAGCCATTATATGATTAGCGCGATGAATAGGATTGTTTCTGCCGGCTGCCGAAATGGTGCCGCCGCTGCATTAGAGGCCTAATTGAGCGCCGCCGCCGGCCGCTTACGGCGCCACGTTACGCTGGGCATGGGGCCATAGAGCACAACACGGGAGCTGCACGACACCACAAACAAAGCACTAATGACACTTTACGATTCGTTTAAGGAGTGGCTTAAGTGGTCTCAGATCAACTGGTTGGTTAACCTGATGATTCTGTGTGGTCCATCAGCTCTTACAAAACTTGTAACAAGCCGTAATCGCGACGCTGTATGTGGAAGGCTTGTTATGTCAATACATATGCACATACATACATGCATACAATGCAATTTATACAGCTTTGACACCCCCAGTAGCTGGTATGCACATTAATACGGACACTGAGAGAAATTTCTCCTTCAAATCAAAGCTATTGAAACGTTCCAGGTCACACATTATCCATATGCCAGACACTAACTCAGCCGGTCAAAATAAAGATGCCTATGTGGTTTCATTCAGTTGAGTAATTGGCGAGCCTCTCATGTATTTTTATATCAGCACTATACTCGGCATAGTCAAGTGCAACACGATACTTGCAGGTAAGTTATTGCAGTCGGAACCCAGCGTGACCCGTCAAAGCAACACTTACATAAAACGCCTTTCTCCGCTCCAACTATTCTCGTTAGCATATGTTGAGCGGTGCATGGCTGGGGGCTGTTTGTCAGCCCCTGCCCTCCCCGGCTGACCGGCGCGGTGGGGTGCCAGTTGTGCGGTGCCCGGTCATTGGCGGCACGATCTTCCCATTCTACTGCTGTCGGCCATAGCCGGCCGGTCGGACGGCCGGGAGGCACGAGCAGCACCGGACAGCGTCACGACCCGGACCGGACCGGACCGGACGGGCGCCAACAGTCCCGGGCCGGACAGCGTCACGGTCAGCCCGGGTCGGACCGGCCTCGTCCCTATGTTCTCATGTTTCCTGTCATTGAATACCATTGACGTGGTGACCGCCGCATTCGCGCCGTTTTCAGTTGTGTCTCGGTGAGCAAACTGCAGATGTTATGTTCCCAGCAAGCATTCCAACGACAAATGTCTGGCGAAATGGGTCCTCGGAACTGCGCGGGCCACTTGCTGGTGGTATAATCAGAGCTGCTAGACGGCTCATAACGCCCAGTGATTGAGGAGATTGTCATTGTGACGACGCAATGGCACGGCCTGCATTTCCCACTGTCAGCCGCTCTACAGCAATGGGAAACGGCTTCTGGCAATGTAACTGCGAGCGCAACCACACCGCTGGAACAACGCGACACGGCCATGGGATATGTTCCAGAACGACAGAAACGGGCCACTTAAATGACTTGTCAACAGTGAAATTTGTCCCGTGAGTTCTCCTTTGGGAGCCGTGGAAAGTGGTGCAGCAGTCGGCTGATCTTTTCCCTCGTACCGGTATTTGCCAAGGCCCAAGGTCCTATATGTAGACTCGGCAGTGAAATGGTGAACCTCTTTTAAACGTTAGGCTCCTACCTGAATCGCTGCCCGTGTAGTTTGGACTTGAGAACCACTCTCCTCTGTCCGATTGCTGCTCTTTTCTGTATCAGCCGCGTTCGTCGCTGTCCTACTCTGCCTGCTTGTTGGGTAATCCTTACCGGTACACAGTCCCCAAAGCTGCAGCGCCGCAGATGAAATGGACTCTGGGTGTGGGTGTTAGGGAGAGAGGCGTGACGGCCAGTGCCCCTGTGATAGCGCAAGGGAAATGGGAGTGTGACAAATGGGTGAAGACGCTAAAAACTCGTTACTCAATCTGTCGATACCAGACAGATTGAGAACGTTTCAGAAGGCTCTACATGGCTACAAATAAGACGTTGAATAAATAAATAAATGAAATAGATTAGATTAATGTATTGAATGGTCGGTTTTGCCATGATCAAATGATTAAATATGTAGATGAAATTGACCAATAACCATATTTTATTTTATTTTTCCGTCTATATTTTCGGCCTTGTTTTGTTCTTTAAAATACACCTCGCTGCCATGTTATTGGTCAATTTCATCAACATATTTAGATTAGATTTAGGCAAGTTCCCGGCAAACTATTAGATGCGCTAAAGTAATGTTTTAGTGTCATCAAGCTATAGGTATGTACCAATCTCGATCAATGACACTGCTATACCGACAGTATGTCCATCCGTTATTACATACTTTATTGTGCATTTTTTATGCTAGAATAGTAGTGACGTATCCACGTTGCATGCAGCACACCGACATAATGAGCAGGCATTTTATTACGCGTGAATAAGAATGTAATCCTATTGAAACGTACGAAAGAGCCGTAGTCAGAGTTCAATGGATGACATGTTCATTAGCCATCGAAATGCATGACTCGTGCCCTAAGAAGCTCTACCATGGCTTTGTTGATTTCACATTTTGTTGCAATATTCCTCTTTCATAATATAATTCTCTGGAAGGATAAGAAAAACTATGATGATA